CCCTGATTAGTGATGGGACACTTAGACATAATAAAATAAAACAGGTTTAGGGCCAATAATAGACTATAGAATTGAAACATAAAAGATAAATTAGCCCACCAACACTTAACCACTCGATCCAACATAAAGTACTAAAAAAGTCCATATTTTGTTGAATAAGTAAAGGCAGCCCAGTGCACGAGGCTCCTACCAATCCGGGGTCTGGGGAGGAACTACACAACCTTAGGGGTGTCCATAAAAAACCAAAAAACCGAACCGAACTGAACCACAAAATGCGGTTAACCGAACCGATCGGTTTGGGATTTTTGAAAAATCAAAGGAATGGTTTGGTTTTCGGTTAACCTACAAAAAAACCGACGGTTAACCGAACTGACTGGTATATATATTTTTATGTATACAAGAAGAATTCGGGACCTGCAATAAATTCCTTTCAAAATCCCCCATAGAAATGCATCTAAACAGATTGCTTGCACTCATCCAAGAGTTAAGTAGCAGCAAAAGTCTCCCTCAGGTGTTCAACTTTTCCCTTCAAAGACCCTCTATTCCACTCCTCCCAGATACACCACATTACAGCATGCGTGACCACCTTTCCATACAAGATAACTCTAGTGCCCAGTGCCCATTCTACAACCTGGCCATTGCTCAAGAATGCCCACCATGGTAATAGCTATTACCATGAAAGAGGTCTAGGAAGAAGTGCCAAAGGCTGCAGGCAACCTCACAATTGGTAAGGAAATGCCCACAAAACTCCCCATCCTTCATACATATGATACAAACATGAGGAGCTAAGTACCAAAATCTCTTTCTCTTCTTTAGGATTCTGTCAAAAGTTTTGATGGAAGAGGTGGTGGTGAACGTTGATGTCAGGGGGATCGGCAAGATGGAAGAAAGAATGAGGGTGTTGTTCACCAGCCTGGTTGGTAGAGTAGTTGGGAGAGAGTTGGAGGTAGAGAAGGTTGAGGCTTAGGCGGTACTAGAGTGGGGTAACAAAAGGGTTATGGGGGTAAGAATGCTCAATGGTGGTCTGTTGCTCTTCATATTCCAAATAGGCAGGGGGCAGAGTGGGTTATGGAATATGAGAAGACAAAAAAGAGAAGCATTGATCTGCGGCTTGATTGGTGGTTCTCAGCAACAGAACTGTCTGGAGGTCGTTGGAGACAGGCTGTCTAGATTGGGGTAATTGGCATCCCTCTGCATGTGTGGAGTATTCCCACTTTTGAAGAAATAGGGAACAAATGTGGAAGATTCCTAAAATACGATGACAACAGCTCTTGGGAGAAGTTGAATTTCATGATTGAGGTTGAGGAAGCCTCTACTATCCCACACAAGGTGGTTTTAAAGTTTGCAGGAGAAAGCTTTGACATGAGAATATTCATTGAAGGAAAAGAGGGAACTTTTTCAAGATCAAAGGAAGAAGGTTTGGTGGAAGAACAGAGGAGTGTAGAAGAGTTAAGGAAATTGATCAAAAAAAATAGTTAAGGAAAAACGAGGAAGGAGACAGGGGCACAAAGCTTTCAGGTAGCAAGGAGGAGTCAGAGGATGATAGGAAGTCAATGAGTCAAGAGCTGGGGAAGGAGGAAGGAAGAAAGGGTGATGTGGCAGGGGGCAACATTAAGAGAGAGACAAGTGGAGAGTATGGAATTAAATGGAACGGTGAGAGAGGTCCCCTTAGTGGATGATTGTAATGAGGTGTTACAAGCCCAAAAGTCGGGCAAAAGGAGAGAGGGGGAATTCAGAAAACAGGAAGTTGAAGGTAAACAATTGAGAGAAAGATAGGAGTGGGGTCCACTGCTTTGAGAGTTTTAGTAAGAGTTTTAAAAGAACAAACCGGCATCAGAGGTTAAAGGTGTTTAAGGGCATCATTAGAAAAGAACAGTTAAGATTAATAGGCCTGAGGAAAAAGAGAATTAGAAAAAAGAATTCATGTTTGGGGAACTCGAGGGAAGAATGGGTCTGGGTTGTTTTGAGATATGAGGGAGAAAAGAAGATATGGTCGCTCAACAGCAGAGAAGTCAAGGATTCAGGCAAGCTCAATGTCTGTTTAGAAGAGCAGCAGCTAAAAGTATCGTCGATGCTGGAAAAAGGAAGTGTTAGATCAAGTTTCCAAGCCCCTTCTTGCAACGTCTGATCCGCTTTTGACCCAGAGTTGTTCACCGATTGGCCTCCAGTCTCAAAATCCTGGTTACAGGGAGGAAAGCAGAGATAACCAGGTACATATTGGTGCGGAGTTAGAGAGCTCAGTGAATGGCCAGACAGGATCGAGAACTCTAGAGATTGTTGCTAGCCTGAATTTTGAGTTAAGAGGATTGTCGGTGAATGCTGAGGAGGTAAAGCCACAAGAGTTTAACCCCAACCTGGGTTGGGCTGATTCTACGCTGAACAAATGCACTATTCCAGCTGAGGCTAATAGCCAAGATCCTACCAGTGACACTAAGTGATGGAGCGCCGAGGGCTCGGGTATCTGAAAATGGGGAGAAAGAAAATTTTGACAAGGCGGAGCAATCAGCGCCTATAGAAATTGGAGAGAACACTGAGGCTGGTTCAAGTGCTCTGAAAATAGTTGCATACCTAAATAATGAGGTAAGTTTAACTACCCTCTATATTTTAAAAACACAAGAAGGAACTAGTAGGAAAAGGAAGAAGCGGGGACTTAGGGGGGAGGAGGGAAAAAGGGGAAATAAAAGAAATAAAAAGATACAAACTTTAGAAACCAGTGGAGAGAAGCAAAGCAAGGTGTATTTAAGAAAAAAGAGGGTGTGCAATCAAGGAGACAAGGAGGAAGGGAATGGGAGGGGGAGAGAGAGAGAGAGAGAGTTAGATATCTCAAAAGTGGGCTTAAAGGAGGGGATTGCGGTAGAGGCAGGGATGGGGAGAGAAAGAAAATCCAATAGAGGGAGAATCAGGGGAGAAGAGGGTGGAAATTGAGAAGTTGGTGGACAGACAGGTGGAAGTGGGAAAGTCGCTCAGCATGTTCTTCTTGGGAGGGGAGAGGATGGTTAGGAGAGCAATAGAGCAGTTCGAGAGAAAATAGAGGGGAAGAAAAGAATAAGAAAAAGACATTTGGGGAAGGAGGAGATACTTGGGATGAAAGAGAAGAGAGGGAAGACGGTTGGGTTGGAGAAGAATAAAGGGGTTGATGAAAGAGAGTAGCAGTTGGTCAGTAGTTGAGGTAGTGAGAGAGAGAGAGAGAGGTTGTTTTTCGGAATGTTTTGAGAAGTTTAAAGGATCAGAAGAGAAGGAAAATCTGTGGGGTGGGAGGAGAAATTTGGGAGGCAGGAGAAGAGTGGGAAGAGGTCTGAGATGAAGAATAGTGAAGGGTCTTTTGGAGGAAATAGTCAACAGGATTGAATTGGATCATGGCTGCTCCTTTGGAATTTCCCTCCTGGCCAAGATGCAGAGGAGGGCTGACAGTCAGAGGAATTTGAAGTTGTCTTTCTTTTTCTTGCTGGATTAATTGGATGGCGCAAGAAGAGAAATCTTTTTGGAGCCAAGGATCGAAAGATGGCAATTTTGATTGATATTTTTACTGCAGTTTGGTCTTGTTTTGTTTTCTCAAGTCAAGTGAGTCGAGTCTGATAAAAGTTTTATTGGGGGAGTTAGGTTTCAATTTTGTAACGTGGATAATTGAAGTTGGGTAGTTTTTGTTCTTGTTGATGTTAGTGTGGTGATAATTTATCACCCTTGCAGATTGTACTCTTTTTCCTTTTAATGAATTTTTATTTTACTTTTCAAAAAAAAAAAAAAGAAGCCTCCCACATAAAGAAGCAAACTTTAAGAGGGAGCACTGGAAGCAAAACCTACTTATGAGGGAAAGAGGGGGTAGATTAGATAAGATTGCCACCAACTTGACGAAAAAGGATTTAATACAAAACTGACCATTTGTAAAAGGCCACCAAGTTCTCCTATCAAAGGATTGAGATGCAATAAAAAACATAATAGAGGGAAGAGAGTAGAGAAGAAATCTTTCAGAGTCAGCATCAGTTAGGGCTCTATGAAAATTGAAATTGAAAGAGAGACCTTGTTCCCCCCCAGTAATTACCAAGGGGATTGAGGCCTCCCTATCTAGGAAGAGATTGGCTTGGCATAGGAGGTGCAAAGGGGTTACCCTAGGCTCCTAGCTATAGGTCAACGTCAATCTAGAATTTGATACGATTACCATTATCTAAACAAAGTCTCAGGAAAGGAACGATAAGGTCAAAGTAAGAAATAATACCTTTCAAAGGGCTGGTGGAGGAGATTTTGTAGAGAGACAAGTTTCTATCCCAACCATTCCTATTCCTTCCATACTTGCTCCGAATGACAAAAGCCCAGAAACTATCTTGCACCTAGGGAAATCTCCACACCACTTACCCAAAAACAGCAATACTCACCTCCTAAATATGTCTGAACCTCAGACCATGTCTGTGAGTCCTTGTTCTGGCCTCCTTCCAAGTCAGACTCCTAACACACAAGTTCTAATTCCCGTGTCGGTTTATAATGTTAAAATTCAACAAAATATGGCCTTCTTTAATAGTTCGTATATAGACGTGTCTGTGAATCCTTGTTCTTGCGAGTCCTACATCCATCTACACCTACACATTCTGTTCATCTTCCATCAACCATACCAACAGAACTACCACAACAGCATTCATATCAGAACAGATCAACAGAAAACACACACACAGCACGGAATATATCAACAGACCCAGAAAAAGCAACCAAAGCAGTTGCTCCGGATTAACCGCAAATTATGCAACTTAACAAAAGTAACTATTAGCCTTTGACTATCTATTCCGTCCTATTTAACCGGTTCTTCGTCTAAAAGCAACCATTTCGAACACAACAAACTCAACGATATTCGGCAAAAACGAACAAGAGAAAACTGGAAAAATCATAAATCTCTAATATACCATGTAAGTTGAATAGAGAGCAAGTGTTAACTATGATGGCTTCGAAAAAAAACAAGAAAGTGTTAGCTATATGACCTTCAATGAAAAGTGAACAGAGAGAACGAGGCTCACCTTATAGACAAAGCCGCGGGTCGAGGGAGGAGACACAATCGGCAGGGTCAGTGGGTCATAACCAACTTAATACGTGGAGACATGGCCTCCAGAACCGGTGAATGGCAACCGGCGGAAAGCTCTGCCTCGAACGGTGGCCGGATCTCTCACCGCCAGCGGTCAAAAGATGGGATCTACCGATAGACCACAAAGGGAGAATTGTAACTAAAGACATAACTAGAAACCTAGGGGTATGCGCCGGGGGCTACAACAGGGATCAGTCGACAGCTTGTCTGGTTGACTACCATCGCAACGACTGACTGGGTCCCAGCAACGAGATTTCCTTTATCTTTGACCCTATGATTGTTTCCGGCTACCGGTGATCGGGATATTTATCAAAAGGGTAAATTACAAAGACCCCCCTGTACTATGGGGTCTGTGACAAAGACCCCCTGTATTTTATTTTGTTACAAAGACCCCAGTACTATGACCGTGAGACAAAGAACCCCTTCCGTTAGCTTTTCATTAAAATCTGCCATTGCAATATTTTTTAATCTCCATACTATCCTTGTAATAGTTATTCGGACAATTGGGAGAAAAACATTGTTCATCTTCCCCGATCTCACGATACATGAACAGCAACGGTGGTAGTTGTTGTAGCGGCGATGGACTTCCGTTGAAGTCCTCCCTCTCTCTCTCACTCTCTCTCCCCCAATCTCTCTTCTTCCCCTTCCCCTTTCTCTCCTCCCCCTTCTTCTTTCCGACTTCCTCTATTTTTCGTTCCTTGTAGATGGAGAACAGACAGCAAAAGGAAATACAATTTGAATGGTTTTGAGTGTGACCATATGCACCTGAACCCTGCCTTGTCAGTTTCCCCCCTCTAACCTCTACTACCGAGGCCTAAAATTAAACGACTAGTTTTGTAAATTCAGCTATCACATTGATGTTTGAATTCTTTGTAACTCTTGGGGACCATGTGCTTAATCTACAACAAGCTCTATTGAATCTAAGGAAGAAAAAGAAATTTCTGTCCATTAGATCCCTAATCAAGTTGGGAATGAATCCCGTTGAATGGGTCCTGGATCCACCAACCTAGTTGTACGTTGCAGTAACAGACTAACAATAAAAAATAGTCAAGGAGGAGCGCCTCGGCTTCCCCTGAATCGATACACATTTGAATTTGAGAGTTGGTTACTTGGTTTTAACTCTTGCTCCAAAGGATCATAATGACCATGATTACAAATGAAAAGAAGAAAGAATGAGAAAAGAAATCAAACAGAGAAGAAGCAAAACTGAAGAAGAGCACATGGTGATGATTGATGACTGATGAAGGGGGCAAAGAAAGAAAGAGTCATATTATTGTTGCGATCTCAATTCTCTCAACTACGTCAGTAATTCTTTTTCTTATCTTGGGAGCAGGGAAGCAAGCCAGAGAAGCCAAAAGTAAAGAAATTCCATTAAAGGGGGGTCGGTATTGGTGCCAGGCCAAATGAGTTTGGGACCCACCTCCGATCCACCTAGGGTTCCAACAGTGGTGGTAACTTCCTAATTGAGTTCGGGACTAGGGGTGGCAACGAGCTGAGCTTTTCACGAGCTGCTTGAGCTCGGCTCGGCTCGATTTTAGCCGAGCTCGAGCCTACTAGAGCTCGGCTTGTAAGGCTCGCGAGCCGGCTCGAATATATTATAGAAAATAATATATAGTAAAAATATTATAATTAATATTTATATTAATTCTTACTTTTTAAATATAAAATAAAAA